CCCCAAAACCCCAAAACCCCAAAACCCCAAAACCCCAAAACCCCAAAACCCCAAAACCCCAACTGCCGAGCAAATTTAAATATTATAGCTTTCAAATAAAATAATTTAATTTAAATCTGAATAACATGAGTCGGAGAGGGAAGAAGCCTACTCTTGGCTTGGCCCAGATACTTGAGTCAATCCCTAAAAGCTATGATTTTGAGTATTGTGCAGTCGATTCTACCCAGACGCGATCATTCTTGTTGAGCAATCTCTCATCGGGAATCATGAAGTTTACTATCAGGAAATCTGAGAATAGTCCCTTTGAAGTTAGTCATACCTCAGGAGTACTACAAGTCAAGGACAAACAGGAGATAGTCATAAGTTATACACCAAAAGAATGTGAAGTCATTATTACATCTATAATAATCAACCTCAACGGTGAGGAAGAGAGAGTAGTAAAGTTATCAGCAGTATCGAAGCATCCTCTCTTGAGTGTCACTGATACCTCTCTAGATTTTGAAGAACTCCTTGTAGGGAAATCTGAAGCAAAGGAAATCCTTGTCCATAACATAGGCCAAGTCCCTACGTATTTCAAAATAGAGAAAGCTAAGTCGGAGGATGAAGATACTTCGTTCTATGTCACTCCAAAGAAAGGGTACATTCCTCCTGGAGAAAGTTATTCTCTGACATTTAAGTATAAGCCTAGGCTTGTTGGTGTCTGCTCCAATGCCCACTTCACAGTCAGAAGTAAAGGAGGCAATAAGATAGATATTAGTTGCTTCGGAGTTGGAACAGGCTATGATGTCCACCTCAGTGCAAAAAGTATGAACTTTGGAGAAACTTCATACGGAAATAGCATCACTAGGTTAATTAATGTGGTAAACAATAGTGATCTTGCAACCTCATTTCAATTCTTAGTAGACCAAAAAAACACTTTTTCGTTTTCAGTCACTGAAGGAGTAGTCAAAGCTAGAAATTCAGTGAGAGTGATTATCTCTTTCAACCCCTTGAAGACTGGAAATTATTATGAAAGAGTGTTCTGTCTAATCAGGAATCATAAACTCCTATACCTGGACCTGATAGGTAATTTATATGACGAAATCACCAAGCCGCTTCCTCTCATGCAGAGACATGTTGAAGTGTTCCGCTACAAAGTAATTATGGGAATCCATTACAAGAAGAAACTCAATGAGCAAGCAGAAGGTGATGAAGACTCACTCCAAGAGATTGAAATGAACACACACGACGAAGAAGCTAAGCTCAATCTTGAGGTTCCGATTGATGATCCAAACCATGTCCTTCATAAAGAAATGTTCCTAGAAAATGATTCTACTCTTAGAGATGTGTCCATTCAACAGCAATTTATCGATTTTAATTACTGCGAATATGGTAAATCTAGTGAAGGCCAAGGTATGACTCTTGAGAATAAACTACCTTATAAAGTAGAAGTCAGATTTGTTCTCCCAGAAGTAACTAATTCTCAAGGAGAAGAGATCAAAAACCCATTTGCAGTCTCTGAAATGACTGCAATTATCGATGCCAAATCTACGAAGAGCTTTGATCTCAAATTTCGCCCTTTCGAACCAGATTATTATTTCTTCCAAATCCTCCAGTGCTATGTCTATCTTCACAATGGAAATGAAAACAAAGTGAGAAAAGATGACGAAGGGAACCCTCAAGGAACTAGTACAGTCCTCAAAAGAAACACCTTCAGAAGTACAAAGGTGTCTCGATTTGGTGAGTCTATGTCTGAAGAAATAGACCCTCCTCTATGTCTAAACCTCAGAATAATTGGTCATTCCTTCAGTCCTGGCACTCAACCATTTATCCCAATGGTGAAATTTTTACCAAACATGAATGTGGTATTCCCACCGTGCAGCCCTGGAGAGTCAGTGTATCAGACAATTAAGATATATAACACAAGTGATACCCCAGTGTTTTATAAAATGCTGCCAGACCCCTCGAAAGTGTTCAGAATATACCCTTTGATAGGCCTTATTCAAGGCAAAAGCTTTGCATTGGTGTGCTTTGAATTCAGTCCAAAATCCGCAAACCACTGGAGCTTCACTTCTCAATGCGTGTTGAATTATACTTATACAAATGTCCAGAACATCCATCTGAGTGGGAAATGCTTCAAGCCAGATATCACACTTGGAAACAAGGGAAAGCTGTATTTCCCACCCACGTACACAGGGGTTTCCAAGAAGCAGCACTTAGTGATCAAGAACAACTCTAGGATACCTCTAGAGTACGACTGTCATGTTCCAGCTAAGTATGAAGAAGTGGTCATTTTTGACCCACCAAAGGCTGTTTTACAGGCACATGAGGAGAAACATGTTGTTTGCACATTCACACCTATTACAAAAAGAGAGTATAAGCTTTCAGTACCTATCCAAGTCACGAATATCTTTGATGTCACTAAAGAGATGATTGGGTACTTCAACCCTGGAAGTGGAGTTGCAGTTAAAGCTCAGCCCAAGCGTGAGCAAGCCAAATATGAAGTCAGAGTCTATGGGGTTGGAAATGATGGTAGTCTTTCAATCAAGCCTTCTATGTTAGAATTCGACACTGTCACAGTTGGCTTTACAAAGATATTATCTCTGACGGTGATAAACAAGAGCAAGACTAATCTTTATATTGATTTTCAACTTGACCAACTTGATATCGAGAAGAAGAGTCCTGAGGAACAGAAAGAAATTAGGAAAATTGTGAATGAGAATTTCAAATTTGACTTCCAGCAAGGGATCGTACCTGCCCTCTCTAAGAAAGCAGTGAAGATAATTTTCAAGCCATCACTTAGGTACAATTTCGAAATCAAGCTGTTATGTAATGCTAGAGAGAAACCTGTGAATGATTTGCGATCAACTATACAAGCTAATCAATTTTTATCCCAAAAATATACAATCAATATCATGGCCAAAGGAGATTTCCCTCTGCTCAGATTTGCTGATATCCGAAATGAGCAACTCAGTGTGTCAAATCTATGGGAAAAGTTTCAGCTCACTGCTCTGAATAAAGAGCTTCTGACTGTCCTCAACAAAGACGAAATAGAGTATTCAAATTCTGAACAGAAAACTAACCAAAGCGTCCAAGACTTACAGAAAAATATTAAAGTATTCAGCTGGGATTTTGGGAAAATACCTATTAAATACAGTCATAAACCAAGGAAAGTCACCCTTACTGTAAGAAACGTTGGAGGGGTTCATGCTGAATGGGGATTCAAACTCCCAAATGACTCAGAAATAGAACTTGAGCCATGGGCTGATCCCGGAGAACCAACACCTGAGCAAGCCTTTGAGAAGCATATCTTGGATAATGAAATCTTCATGATTGAACCAAAGACAGGATCATTGGCTCCTGGAGAGCAGACAGATGTGAATGTCTACTATGTATCGAAAGAAGTTAATTTTCATCACTTGAAAGTGTTCCTTCAGATCAGCAATGGGAAGCCTCTGATTCTTGATCTAAAGGGAGAAACTTTGTCTAGAAGGGCTAATCTCAGACTCTGCAAGGATGAGTACCACATTCCTCCAGTACCTATTGGGCTAGAGTGGTCTGTAACTTATCCAATAGAGATCAAGAATCTTGGTATTACAAAGCTAAAGTATAAAATCGATCTCGAAAGCCTAAAGAAGCTTAATGATGAAAATCATAACTTCAATATCTTTGACATTGAGAACCCTGAAGGTGTTCTCATGCCGAACGAAATTCAGTATCTCTATTCAGTGTTTAGACCACTTGAGTGTAAAGAATACAGCATTGATTTGCCTCTCAAGGTGTCTGATATCGAAGGAGTTGTCCAAAATATTTCCCTGAAAATCAATGGTATCGGATACCAAGGAGAAGAAAACAAGCCTAAGGAGATTCAATTCTATGAAGATCTTCCGAAATGCAGAGCTCATTGTCAATCTGATGATGAAATCCTCGCCGCTTTCTCAATTGAAGAGATTGACTTTGGAGAAGTTGATCCAGAAGAACCTTCAAAAAGGATGGTGATCTTGTATAACATGTCTCCTACACAAAAACTAACTTTTGAGTTCTTCAAGACGGGTTTGCTGTGCACTGATAATATTAATTTGATGCCAATATCAGGAGAGCTTGAGCCAAATTCACACAAGAATATTAAAATGGTACTCAAAGCAGCCCAGCTTCCTACCATTTTCGACGGAGAGATCATGTGTCAAATAGAATGGGAAGATAACGCCAACAGAGGAGTGGGAACCATCAATGAGACCCACACTGGAACCAAGAGTGTGGTCACCCATGCTAATGAGAATGAATTCTTGTTCATCCGTCTCAAGAAGCGTTCTTGTTTGGATAAATATGTTAGAAATAACAACTATGAGTTAGTTAAAGATCCAGTGAAGCCATCTCTTTTCCTAAACAATCTATTTGTTGATGCAATGAATGAAGTCCTTGAAGACAAAGATACAGAGAAACTGTTTGAAAAACTTGAGGAAGAACCCATCGGAACTTATTCAATGCTTGATGAACAAGAGCCTCCTACCTGAATGGATGTAGTTGACCAGCTCGATGAAGGAATCAAGGAATACAAAGCAGAGAACAACCTCAATGCTATTGGATGGATTGAGCAATTCAGACATCCTAGTTACGAAGCTGAGATCCAAACCCAGACTGGCCTTGATGAAGATGAGCTTTTCTGCAAAAGGATCCTACTAGATTCAAGGTAAAAATCATTCTTCTCATTAATTTTTACTTAATTTTGATAATTTGGTTATTAAAAATCTTATAGATACTCCGATTTGATAGAGTACATGCTAGAAGATACGATGTTCAACTTAATGGAAGAAGCAACTTATGAAGAATTTGATCTTTCCCAGATTCAAAGAACATATATTAAGAAAGAAGATCTAGAGTAGCTAATAATTAGAGTAAAACTACACCTTGAAATACAACCTTTTCTTAAATGCCCATTGTCTGATACCCACATTCAATATTAAAAATTTTAAAAGGGGTTTTGGGGTTTTGGGGTTTTGGGGTTTTGGGG